TGGGATGCTCAAACTAGAGTCTCCTTTTTGCAAAATATATAGGTAGTATATTCATATTAAGACTTGCTCTTTTTTATAACAAACAAAACCAGAATATTTGATTATTACTTTGACGATGTAAAAACATACTCTCATTTAACATACTACAACTCATATAAACATACTCTCCGATCGTCTTATTCAATAGATATGAAACAGACCATATGCACAAAGATCATATGTACATAATGAAAATAAATATTATTACAAAAAAGTTCCAAGCCAATAAATTTCGAGCTCCCACACATGAAATGATTTCGTATCCGTTACTCATTAGCAATATATTACTATATATATAGAAGCGTTCGATTTGGTAATGTTGTCATCGGTCCGAGAGAAAAGAGAAACCATAAATGAACATTGAAACAATCGTTTGAACGAAGGAAAAAGGAAGCTTGCATGCCTAGAAAAAAATAATTTATACAAAATGGCACCAGTTTTGGTCGGAGGAGGATGTTGATTCTCTTTTTCAAGTTTATTGCAATTTGATTTTTATGTAATGTAACGGCAATTGTAATTGCATGTTCCACACACTGTACAGTGACTAGGGTCGCACAAATATCACATTCACTTTAGTACCAAATTTCCGTCCAACACACAATTGAACCCAGTGTTTGTGTTGAACAACCCTGCACTAGTTTAATATTTTTGTTTATATGTTTACATTTTGTGTGCAGGAGTAATAGAATTCGATTCTAAAGTGGTGTGATATTTACCACAAAGCAGTGAATCACCACTGGATCCCAATTCCATTTTTAGTCTACCGCTTGCTTTCTATTTGTACCATGAGCCATCCATTTACTAGGAATTCCTTTGTGAAAAATAATCACGAAACGAATATTGCAAAATGCAATAAATATTATGCGTTTGTTTATGTGCGTGAGCGTGCGTTCTTTCCTCTATGCTATTATTATTATTATATATTAAATCTTCTCTCCGATCTTATTCAATTCGCATTATAGAATTTCTATTCTCTGTGGCGCATGCAGCATTTATGTATCGTTTCTTCTTCATTTTTTTTTTTTCCTTTGAGCATCATACTCGATGTGCATGTAAGGAATAATATTTTTTTTGTTGTTTTTCGTACAGATTCACATTTTTCATACATATATAAACGAATATTGTTCTGGTTCGGTTCAGTTGAGTTTAACGTACATTTGTGTATTTGTATTTTTTTTGTCATGATCTCTTTATTTAACTATTGTCGTTACTGCTCATGCCTGGCTAAACACGACCATGTATAGTCTAAATTATTATTTAATTTTTGTTGTTACCATTCCTATTCTCTGCATTTAAGAACTTCGAGCTTTTGTCGCTGTTTACAGAATTTCTTTTGTTTCGACTGGGACTGTTTCAATGTTTTTTACAATAACATATCTTTTAATGCTCGCATTTAAGCTTGTTTCTGTATGTATGTATCGTGGGCGATCGTATAAAACTATTTCGACGCCAGAACTAACACGAATGATTGTTTTCTTCTTCTTCTTCTTCTTCTTTTTCAAAAAAAACTTAACCTATATTTTACGCCCACTTCGCATGTTAACTGCATCACCACAAATCAAGTGCATTCGATTCCTCTTTCCGTCGAATTTGCTGTTTCAATTCAACTCTATTCGCCATTATTTTCAACGAACAGTGAACAAAGCGAGCGGCCATTTTTGGCATTCAATTACCTATCATAATGCTGACGACACAACAGAATCTACGAATCAACAATTGCATACAAGGAAGTGAAAATGGTAACAACAATGCAATGACTAGGTACACGAATTAAACACTTGAAATATTTACGAAAAAACCTTCACATGTTAATAACAATGATAAAAACACATGATTTTCGCAGGCGAAATGAAGAGCAAAAGAAGATAGTTTTATTTTCTATTAATTTAAGCAGATAGACAGTAAAAATAAGCAAACGTACATATTTGGCATAACGTATCATGGTTTTTGTGGATCCCTAGGGCCAATCAAATAAAATCAAATTTTGGCGATTTTTGTGACTGCGTTTTCTCACAATTAGTAAATAATATTTACTCAATACATATCTCTTTGGCTGTTTGAACATACGTCCTCAGCAGAGGTCCGAGGGGTCCGATTACCCCCCTGACGAAGTGTTACCCCTTAAAAATTTTCAAAGAAATCTTTCAATTTGCTAGGGATTTTCGCCAAAAAAGTGAAGAGCAAAAAAAACACGAAAAAAGTACACTTTTCGCAAAATACACTTCACTTTTTTGCTTACCCCTCTCGATTTTTTTCAATTACCCCCTTAAATTTTTCCCTTGAGGACGTATGTATTTGAAGGGTAAAATGCGACTCCATTCGTACCCAGATTACAAAACGACTACTGATTCCCCCAGGATCTACGTCAGATTTGTGATTTGATAGAACAAAAATCAATTTTTTTAATAATTTAGTCCTTTAATTACTTTTTTCCATATACATGACGTCGTTTTCACCGATTACAATTTATTTGTTTTAAGGTGAGGAAAAACAAAAAATTCTTATCAGAGATTTGTACATTAAAACACCAAAATTAGTTCTAAAGCAATGAAGGCGGCAACAGATGGTTAATGAATTGAGGTAAATTAGCTTAAGAATCCGCTTTTCAGGTGGTAACTAACGAAAGCTGCCGAAAAGACGACGAGAACGTTGTGTGTGAAGCAAAACCCAAGAAAAATATCCAAAATGTCGTTCGACTCGCAATATTTTCGTATCATTAATTAATGAAGTTAAATCTTAAACAAATTGCTCATTGTTGTTTGCTATTGTCTTACTGGCGTGCCAAAAGAGTTCTCTCTCGTGTAATCGAGTCATTTCCAAAACTTATTATTCACTAACATCATGTTGTTGCTCTAATAAAAATGAACTAAGCTTATTTTAATTACTACACGTAATGTTTTGAAGCGTGCCACCCATGTTATTTCCCATAAATTTATTTCTGCGCGAACAATGAAATATAGTGACGATTGTTTGTTTTTCACTTACATTTTCTGACGCCAATTCGCCAAATCAACTCACTTACACACTCACACACACACACACACACACACACACACACACACACACACACACACA